GGCAACACTAGATAAAGAGAGAAACATGCTAACACGAGGCCTTCCATTAAGAAGCGGATGATTGTATTGATGAATTAAAATGACCTACATGGAGCAAAAAGAGAGAGACACAGGTTGTGGGGGGTGTTCAGAGCTGTAGTGAGGCTGAGAGGGTCTCACCGAGGACCAAGACCCCCTCTATAGACTGGATCACACCCCCTCTTGCCTAGACAAGGACCTTGCTCTTACAATTATTCTCTCTCTCCTATGTCAACAAGTTTTCCCTGTCTACACAATTGTTCCCATCCACCATGTACACTTGCTATAATCTCCCAACTTAAAAACATTATAACAAACCACCCATTTCCCCACTTCTCTGTGCACCTTTTCAGCCAACCCACCCAATAGAGTCATGTGTATTTACTCCCCTGATTCATCTCTCCCATTCCCAGTTGAACTGAACCTATTCCCAAACTTGTCCCCCCCTCAGGGTCTTTGCATTTGCTGATTCCTCTGCCTTGAAGACCCTTTTCCTAGATACCCACACGGCTAGCTCCTTACTCCACTCAAGTCTCAGATCATGTCACCCCACTGGAGGGGCCTTCNTCTCACCAACATCTTCCCTTCCATTTTCCCCTTGTCTTTGTGCAGCCCTCTCAGCAACATTACCCACTGCCCCCTGTCACCCGTCTCACGTGAAGACAAGTCTTTGGCCCACCTCCAAGCTCTCAGCCCACATTTCCTACTGACTGCTGGACATCCCAGAGCCTCAAACTTAGGATTGTGCAAAACTAACTGTGATGGTTAATTTTAGGTGTCAACTTGACTGGGTTAAAGGACACCCAGAGAACTGGTGGAGCATTCTTTCTGGGTGTCTGTGAGGGTGTTTCTGGAAGAGATTGGCACTGGAATCAGTGGACCAAGGAAAGATCCACTCCCAGCCAGTGAGGGTGGGTATCATCCAATCTTCCGAGGGCCTGGATAGAACAAAGGTGGTGGAAGGGCAAATCCCCTCTCCCTTCTGGAGCTGGCACACCCATTTCCTGCCCTTAGACATGACAACCCAGGTTCTCATTGGACTGAGAGTCACATCATCGGTTCCCCAGGCTCTCCGGCACATGGACTCGGACTGAATTCCACCACTGGCTTCCTGAGTCTCCAGCTTGCAGATGGCATATTGTGGGACTCTTAGGTGTCCATAATTGCATGAGTCAATTCCCATAATAAATCCCCTCCTATCTACATATCCTATTGGTTCTGTTTCTCTGGAGAATCCTATCAGCACATTTCCTGCCTGGGTTCCTTCAGCCTCAGTCAATCTGAGGACCGACTCCTCCTGCCTCGATACACACACCCCATCAGCGACTAAGTCTCGCTGGCTTTCTCTCCACCACTTCTCATGGGTTTCTCCCCCACTGTCATTTACTGCTGCTCAAGTCCTATTTATCTCCTGCCTAGGCCATTTACAGAACCAGATTGACCCGATCCACCTCCCAGGTGCTTGTCTGTGTCAGCCCCTGCCTGAGAACTTTCAAAAGCTCACCACAGGATGAAGTCCTACACTCGAGGCACCCAGAGCTCTCTAGACTGTGGCTGCCCCCCGCCTTCCAACCTCGTTTCTGACAAGTTCTCTTCCACACACTCCATGTCCCTCCCTGTGGAGAACTGCTTCCTGACCCGCAGTGACCTGGCTCAAGCTGCCCCATCACTGGAGAATGTCCTCTTTTTATCTATACCTACAAGTCCCATCCATGCTTAAAGGTGCAGATGAAATCCTACCTCCTCCCTAAAACCTTCTCTGATCCTGATCAAATGGAGTCAGGTGACCCTCCCGTGTGTCTCAGAACACTTCTCTCATGGTTTTATTTCCACATACACATGGCTTCATCGTGCCTTATTCTCCTGGTAGACTATAAACCCATTGCAGACAGTCTGGGCACCATGCCCACCAAAGTGCCTTGCACATGGTGAGCAGTCAGTAAGCATCTGTTGAAAGAATGACTCAGTTGACCAGTCATTCTCAGATTTACTACAGTGAGCGGACCTCAAGATATGACCATGTTTTG